TATAATAAGGAACCCCAGAATAATATAGGTAATTATTTAGGCCCCTATACTAGGATGTTTCGGGCTTTAGTACAGCCAGGTGTTTCATGTACTCAGGCCCTAGGAGTTCGGAATCAGAGCTTTAGGAGTTTCAGGCTTTAGGGTTCAGGGTATTGCACCACTTTCAAGATTTGTTAGCAGCTTCAAAGCGTGAAGGTTCCAAGGGACCGCAAACCTGCAAAGTAATGCAATGTTCGCTACTTCGTGCTGCGGTTGTGACTAGGGCGGCATGACACGTCCCTAAGCCTTATACCCTAAGCCGCACACCTCAAACCCTAAAGCCCAAACCCTGATGTCCCGATATCCTCAATCCAAAATGATAAAGTCTCGGCATCGCAAACCCTAAAGCCTAAAGTCCCGAAAACCTTGACCCTAAACTGGAAAACTTCGTACGACCTTGGGCGCACTAAGGAGCTTGAAGCAACAACGGATGCCCGCAGAGTATAGTTTAGGGTTTAGGGTTTAGGGTTCCTGACGAAATTGCTAAATTGTGGTTCCTGAGGGTTCCCGAATATCACTGTAGGAGAATATACCCAGAAACCCTATTCTAGTTCTAAATGCTCAGGGCCCCCCTGTTAGAATGTGGGGAGTAGGATTCTTTTCAAGGACTACCGAAAGAGAACTCACTAGAGGGAATCCTGCAAGACTCCCATGTTGGGCAACGAGGTTCTTATCATCAAAACAGGACCCCTAGTCTAAACAACTGTCAGTTTAGACCGCAGATTTCTTGTTCTCAAAAAGAACTCCTAATTTGAGAAACTCCCCAAATACCGAAACCTGAACCCCACACCTTATAATTAAGACCCACACCTTATAATTAAAACCCTAAGCCCTAAACCCCAAACCCCGAACCACAAACCCTAAACCCTAATCCCGAAACCCTTCAATCCCTAGCCCCTGACCGACGTGTCCTGTATGTAGTGCGCAAGAGGTGAGGAAAGCTGGCTGCACGCCTTGCCACGGGGTTTTGGGTGCATGGTTGCGGGTTTAGGGTTTAGGGTTTAGGGCTTATAGGGGTTAGGGCTTAGGGTTTAGGGGTTCAGGGGTTTAGGGGTTTAGGGTTTGGGGTTTATCAGGTTTCTGTTTTTGTTTGTTTTAAGGGCCCTTTTCCGTGCTTGCGCTTAGAGGCCCGTTAGGGCGGGCATTGGTCTGAGGGTTTAGGGCTTAGGGATTGGAATTGGTCTGTTCACACGAGAGGGGCCCGTCGTTTGTGGCGTCTTCAAACAAGGATCCTAGCTTTTTGAAATGCTTGAATACTTAAGGCCCCTCCCACTCAGGGCCGAAAAAAAGATCTGAACTCATTGACTTCAGTTCCGCGGCTTTAGGCCCTGAAAAGGAGGTCCCTATGTTTTTGAAACTCCCATTTGGGGTTGTGCTCCCCACGTGCCAAATCGCCCGCAAGGGGCACTATAAGGGCCTGACTAGTTGGAGTAGGGTCTTGGGGTAACATCAGGGGGTCGCCTCACTAACTATTCAGCTCCCCTTCCTGCATTGGTGGAAGCAGCAGCACAGGTTTAGTAACACTGTTGTCACAGCCGCAACACCAAAAAACATACATGCAAGTTTAACAATAGCATGGCGCTTGGGGGGAGGCGTTCGTGCGCAGCTCAGGGTCCTACTAGTCAGTCCTGAACCCCTCAAGCCTAAACCCTAAACCGAAAGCTCTCCCCAGAAAGGCACCAAGGTTTCGAGCTTAAAGCTCATGGAGTAAACCGTGAACCTTTCAATGCAAAACTCCCTAGACCGTAAACCCTGAACCCTAAATTTTAAACCCTGGACCCTAGACCCTAATCCCTAAACCCAAAACACCTGAGCCCCCAAGCCCAAGGTTTAGGGTTCAGGGTTTTTCAACCACGGCCTTTTTTTCCTGGATCTCGTACCGCACAATGTCGCGACCACTGGCAGCCATGAGCCTGACATCGTCAACTCGATGACAGTAACTTAGGGGCCTTATTAATTAGAATAGGGTTTTGGGGTTCCTGTAAAGGGTTCCTTAAAAACTTACTGTAGCTGGCTTAGACTCCAGGGGCTTCGGGTTTAGGATTTATAGGGCTTAGGGTTTAGAAGGGTTTAGGGTGTAGGGTTCAGAGCATGGGGCTGATGATGAGGGGTGAGCGAAAAAAAGATGCGAGGGTACTGCAGGGGTCTTAATAACTAGAATAGGGTTTTGGGGGCTACTTGTTATAGTTTAAATTTAGAAATAATATACCCGAAACCATATTCTAATTATGAAGGCCCCGATAGGGTTCGAAGAGGGCTTAGCAACAGGATCTGCTTCTTGTCGAGATTGCTGCCAAGCATACGGGCCCCCTAAACCCTACACCCTTACCAAGCGTAGGGGCCACTGAAGTCACTGCACGTCTCCTGATGACAAGATAGGGTTTAGGTTTTATGTTCAGGTCCCGGACTTAGCCCTAAACCCACAACCCTGATAGTGGTGAACCCTGGCCCTAAACCCCCCAAAATCCTAAAACCCTTAAACCCTACAACCCTGAAGCCTCAACCCTAAAACCCCTAAAACTCCTACAACCCTGAAACCCCTAAAAGCCGTAAAACCCCTAAAACCCTAAAACCCTGAAACCCCTAAAACCCCTAAAAACCTGAAAACCCCTAAAAACTAAAACCTCTGAAAACCCTCGAACCAAAAAAAAAGGGCCTTGGCATGAACTCCAGCACTCTTTGGCCCTCCAGCCACGGCATCGCCTGCGTGAGAAGAAAGGGCTCTCCAGCCTCGCGACAAGGGAGAGCTTTAGCTTTAGGTTTAGGGTTTAGGGTTCAAGGTTTAGGGTTTAGGGTTCAAGGTTCAAGGTTTAGGGTTTAGGGTTCAAGGTGTAGGGAGTTTAGGGTTTAAGGTTTAGGTTTTAGGGTTTAGGCTTTAAGGTTTAGAAGGGTTTGGGGTTCAAGGTTTAGGGTTTAGGCTTTAAGGGTCAGGGACAAAGGGAAATTTAGGCTTTTATGGGTTTTAGTTGAGGGTTAGGGGCCTGCTGCAGGGTTTCGGGGTGCGAAGTTGAGAGAGCTCAAGGTTTAGGTTTGGGGTTTAGGGTTTTTTTCGGTGGTTTAGGGTGTTTAGGGGTTTAGGGTTTAGGGGGTTTAGGGTGTAGGGTTTTGAGGGGGCTTAGGGTTTTTATGGGGTTTAGGATTGAGGGCTTAGGGTTTAGAGCACCTCGAAGAGGGAAGAGGGAGACCCACACTGAACAGGAAGGAAGGGCATCGAAGGAAGGGCATCGGTAGTAGGGTTTAGAGCCAGGGTTTTGGGGCATGTAGGTTCTACTACAGGGTTTTCAGCAGCTCTTGAACGGATCTTTAAGGGATCCCCGAGAATTATTTTAAGGGATTTATATGTATAGGGTTTGTGACTTTTAGCTGCTCTTAGAAGGTCGTTTGAGGGTGCCTTAAAGGGGCCCCTGTGAGGCCCTGTAGAGGCATAGGGCTTAGGCTTGTTGCTTTGGGGTTTAGGGCTTAGGGCTTAGGCTTGAGGCTTTGGGTTTTTTTGGTGGCTTTAGGGTCGACGGCGCTTCTGAAATTCGGTTCAGGCTTTTAGGGCTTAGGTGGTTTCGGGCGTAGGATTGCAGGCGGTTTAGAGCTAGGCGTTTAAAGCAATTAAGCGTTAAATTCTGCAGAGCGTTTGGGATTGGTTATACCAGGACCCTTCATGTGCTCTCAAACAGAGCCCTTGTGCTCCTAAATAGGTGGACGAAACGTGGGCCGAAGAACTTGCAGCTCTTGTACGAGTGCAGGTGCTTCAGCTTCGCTACGACTTGAGTACGAGCTGGGCCGACAGTTTGTCAGCTCTGTGGGCTTCGGGGTTAGGGTTTAGGGTTTAGCGTTTTAGGGTTTAGGGTTTAGGGTCTGGCTCGCCCAGGCATCTACCTGAAACGACGGTTTCAGCCATATTTCGGGCAGCAGTGGGTAATGGGCGGGTCTTTAGAGTTTGGGGGTTGAGGGTTATAGGCTTTAGGGTGCAGGGGGTAATGGTAGTATATACATTATTTGGGGTAGCGTTCCCTCTGCCAGTATCTCAGAGAATGCCCAACACATACACTCGCGGACTCGCGGCTATGAAATAATGAGCCGGATATACACTCACTACACCCGCCCAGACCCTGATAAACCCCAGTGCATTCGAACTCAAGCGGACCGTTAGAGGCGACCTACTCAGCTAGCACACTGTGGGCGCAAAAAGGTGGCTCGAGGCACTTAGTACATTGGGGCCTTAGGAGCTTCATCGGATTCATCAGAGCCGACATTAGGACTGTAATATAGAAGCCTAAACAATTCGCAATTTCACTGTTAGGGTTCCTCATTATAATAGTACTCCAAGGGAATCCCAAAACCCTATTCCAATTAATTAAGGCCCCTTCTTTACTCCTAACTCTCAAACTCAGGAAGCCCTCCACTTCACCAAATAGCCGACCCTGCGCAAGCAGTGCCTCCAGAAGGGGAATGACGTCCTTTCCACAAGGAGTTTTGGGGATCCGTTGGGACACCCTGACCCCCAGACCCTTCCAGCAACAGATGCAGAAAGGGTTTAAGCATGCTATCATGGACTTTTTGTGCCACGCTACTAGAACCCAACCATAAGGTTTTTTTTAGTCAGTAGGGATTAGGATTTGGGGTTTTGGATTTGGGCTTGGGTGGCGCTACATATTTATCTGGTTTGTGGCCTCGGACACTCTAAACCCCAATCCCAAAGCCCCAACCCGCCAACCCCCCATCTTCAGCATTCAGGACTCAGGAAGGCAACAAAAAATCCAGGATCTACTTTGTTGGGGTCGCTTATTTCCATGACGGGGGATTGCTTCGCCTCCGAACCAGAAAGTGCCCCTAAAGCCGTCTCTGAAATAGCACTCTGCCTCATTATCCTACAGGCCCTGCTAAAGGTAAGCCCTTGGTCACATTGCGCCCAGGATCATCTGGGGCTGGCAGCGGAACCCTAAACCCAAATCGTAGGACCCTAAACCCTATACCCTATAAACCCTAAATCCTAAATCCCCAAACGGACCTTAAATCAATCCCACACCCCGAAGTACCCTGCAGCGTCCACCGAACCCTAAACTCCCTCATATGGGGCGGCCTTCATAAGCAGAATAAGGTTCTGGGGTGTATTACACTATATACTTACAACAAGAAGCCCTAAGGAATAGCCTTGGTATTTCATGCAGGCTTCTACAGTAAGCCCTAAACCAAACCCTAAACCCTAAACCCTAAACCCTAAACCCTGAACCCTAAACCCCAAACCCGAAAATCTAAACCCTAAACCCTAAACCCTAAACCCTAAACCCAAACCCTAAACCCCATCACCCCGCTCCTCCGAGAGCGCGCTCGCCCGTTTGAGGCTCTTCACGGCCGCCTCCTTTTGGCTGCGGCCGGCCGGCGACGCTGGCGCTGGTGTCAGGGAGGCTGGCACCTGCTGTAGAGGTTTTAGGGTTTAGGGGTTTAGGGGTTCAGGGTTTAGGGTTTTAGGGTTTAGGGTTTAGGGTTTGGGCTCTCGGATTTTTGACTTAAGCCCTACACCCTAAACCCTAAACTGTGCCCTAAACCGTTGACGTCTTCAGGGCTGAGGTGGTCTGTTGGGTTTTGCGCTTGGGCCTTGGAGCTTGAGCCTTTCGGCTGCAGGGTTTAGGGGTTAGGGTTTAGGGTTTAGGGTTAGGCCTTCGAGCTTTTCCCTTTAGGTTCAACTGCTGACTTAAAATCAACGTACAGAAATTCTGACCACCAGTCCCCACATCATTGTCACGATCACTGCGGTCTTTGCTACCGATGACGTTCGCACTATCATTATCTTAAAGCTTTCTTCTTGTGATGCTAGCTGTTCTAGCCGCGACAACCGTTGGAAACATTGAAACTCTGAACCGGTTTTGATCACTCTATATAAAACCTGAAACCCTGAACCCCAAAGCCTCGAAGCTCCTCCTAGAACCTCGCCTTAAATCCTACCCTCACGGAACCTGTAGTGCTTTCGAAACTCTGTAAGTGGGGAGCTAGGATTACGGGGGACCTTTGGGGATATAGACCCTCTCAATAAGGTCCTTTTTTAAGAGAGCCAGAAGTAGGGTTAAGACGGGTCCCCTTTAAAGGGTCTCCCTAAGACCTCCACTTCGCGTGGTAGCGAGGCGTGGCGAACTTGCTGCAGGATCGACTGCAGCCTTTCCACCTTCAGGGGGGCCACTTTTTGGTAGGATTTGGGGTTTGAAGATTTTTAGGGTTTAGGGTTGTTTAGTTTAGGGCCTTTGGGATTTGGGGTTTAGGGTTTAGGTTTAGGGTTCAGGGTTGCTTAGTTTGGGGCCCTAAACCCTTCACCGTAAACCCTCAAATTCTAAACTTGAGGTCCCTCTGAGGGATCCCTTACAGCATAAGTGCCGAGGACCTTCGGGGCTCGGTTCTCAGTTTAGGCTATGAGCCCAAACCCTAAACTGGAGGGTTTAGGGTTTAGGGTTTAGGGTTTTAGGGTTTAGGGTTTAGGGTTTAGGGCTCGATTCTCGATTTAGGCTATGAGGGTTCCGCGTCTACGGCGACTCCCAAACAGTTGGAACACGGGTTTCGGAAGATTAATGCTAGGTTTGCCGTTACTTTACCTTAAGGGCATGAGGATAGCGATGCTCCAACTTTCTGGGCTTCTACTACAGGGCCACTCAACTGCGCTGTAGCAAGCACGATACGGGCTCTAAACTTGTTACCATAAGAAGTTCGACATGGGTTGCTGCAAGGCCAAGAGGGTTTAAGTTCTCTCTTACGGTTCCTTCTCGGATTCCTTTCAAGATTCGGTTGAGAGTTACTCGATGAGCTCCTTTGAGGATTTCATGCCTTCCGTGATCAGTTATCCTTTCGGCTTGATGTAGATGCCTTAGTAATTTGAATAGGGTTTTGGGCTCCTGTATACTACAGTTATGATGATAAGGAACCCTGAGGAATAATATTGGTAAGTATTCAGGCGCCTACAGTGACTCTTTATTACGAGTCTTGTGGGTTGTCTACATGGCCGAGGCTTCACATGGGTGTTACCGGGCTTAGGGTTTAGGATTCTGTTCTGTAGGGTTTAGGATTCTGTTCTATAGGGGTGGGGGTTGGGGACAGCGCGTGGGCCTACGGGGTAAGCGTATCGAAACCAGAAATGTTCTTGCTTGGAGCGGTGTTTCCTTTTTGTGCCTGTCCATGCTAGAAGGACCGAGGCCCCAGTTATATTCTTGGCCTCAAACCCTGCACCCTAAACCCCAAACCCTAAACCCTAAACCCTTAACCCCAAACCCTAAACCCTAAACCGGCGCAAAGGGCGCAGGGTCTGAAAGCTCACAGTGCTGGCACGGGTCTGCAAGCCAAGGCTCTCCAACAGTCCTTACTTATATGCGTAAGTGCACCGATACAACAAATAGATCCTTACTATAACTCCAGGAATGTGCTTGTATAGGTAAGGGCCACCACGAACTACGGAATGCAATGTAGGGGCCTTGAAATGACGAGCGCAGGTTTTTGGGACTACCAGGGGGGACTGTGACCACTTGTTCGCCCCGATGGCTTTGGCCTGAAGCCATCTCAGGGATTTCAAAGTCTTCGGTTCAGAAATCTCCTCCAAGAACTCCACAATGAGCCGCCGCTTAGCATGCCTCTTTAGTTTTAGCATTGGGCACCTCCAAACTGGCTTGCTTTGGAACACCCGGGGGACTCCCAGCTCCCACTTGGAGAGCACCTGACCACGATAGAGATTGCTTCAAGCCTTACATCCGGTTCTGTTGGTGCTTCTTCGGAACGTACCGCATGCCCCAAGATATCGGTGCATCACTCACGTTGCGGCTTCAAAGCTACAGCATGACTCTAAGTCAACACTCAAAGTCACACGGGATCCCAGCACCCCCTAACCCCACCAGGCCAGGTTTTAAGAAATTGAGCAAGTACTGCAGCCCTGTAACGCGGCATCAACTCGTGTAGCACACGAGAAACACCATCCAATAACTGCTTGATCTTAGTCAAATCTCAAAATCTGATTTTGCCGAAGCAACCCCAGGAAACCTCAACCCAAACCCTGAAGTAAAGTAAACCCTACACCCCCAACACCCATACTCTAAACCCCCAACCCCGAGACCCTAAACCTGCAAACCCTGAACCCGAAACCCCAGGCCTCAAACCCCATAGATCTTTAGGGTTTAGGGTTTAGGGTTTAGGGTTCAGAGGCCTGGAAGAGCCCCCAGCGGCCTGCTGTCTGAATCCGCCAGCTGCGGCTGAGCTGAGATTTTCCACCTCCTGGCAGAGCACCTCGGCTGCAGCAGGGTGGTTGTTTAGGGTTTATCGGTTTCGGGTTTAGGGATATTTGTTGAATGTGTGTTGGCATGCCCTTTCCGACCGGTTTTTGGGTTTAGGGTCTAGGGGGAGGAGGTGGAGATGGCCGTCTTCGCCGTCGTCGTCGTCGTAGTAGGACTAGTAGTAGGGCTAAGAATAGGACTAGGACTAGGACTAGCGTCAATAATCGTAGTAGTATTATTATTATTATTAGTAGTAGTAGTAGTAGTACTACTACTACTACTACTACTAAGTACTAGTACTTAGTACTAGTACTAGTACTAGTACTGGTACTGGTACTGGTACTGGTACTGGTACTGGTACTGGTCCTAGTCCTAGTCCTCGTCCTCGTCCTAGTCCTAGTCCTAGTCCTAGTCCTCGTCCTACTACTACT